TCCCATTCCCGGGGCCCTGCTGTTCCCGTTCTCGGGACCCCACTGCACCCACTACGGGGACCCCCCTTCCCGCTCCCGGGGCTTCGCTGCCCGGCTCCCGAGAAATCGCTTCCCCCGCTCCCGGGACACATTTCGATGTTTTAGGAACACATTTCATTCATAAAAAAAGTAATACATGTTTATACTTCATTCATCGTTTTATTGGTATAAACAGGATCGCCATTTACAGACTGACAAAAATAACGCTCTATGTATAGTGTATACACGTTATGCACTATGCTAACACTATACAATAATGTAACCTGGTACTTTACAAAAATGTGTAGCCGAAACATAGAAACAATAGCTTTTTCCCGAACTAGCCTTCCAGGGACTAGACTTTTAAAATCGTTGGACCCGGTGTAAACTCAGAAATTACTAGTAATTAACAGATTTCTCTAACTTTAAAAAGTAAACTAACTTCACATCTCATCACAGTCACCTCCAAATAGAAGTCCATTTTAGCAAAAAATGTCAAAAAGTAACTAATACTGACATATCATCAGGTTAAAAGAGGAAAATAGCCCTCAGATCATGAAAGCTAAGGGAATGGCGCTTACACAAACAGTCAAAAGACTAAATTTTCGATAAACAAAGAAGGCCTCAAACAAAGTTCTTCAAAATACATGTAAGTGTAGCAAAAACATAATTGCAGACCTAACATGAAGTTAAATGAGGCTTGGCAGAAAACAATATCACGTCATTACAAAAAAAGATCATTTGCTCAGAAATTAATTACATGAACACGTATTCAATTTACAATGTCGTTAAAGACAAGCTGTCGGTTTCGTAAAGTTTGCGTTGTCGCCTCTACAAAATGAGGCTTTCAGGCCAGGAGGTATGCCCCCCCCCCGGAACCTCAATTTCCCATCCCAAGCCAGCCTAGCGGGGACCAATAGGCGGGCAGCATTCGGCCACACCCACAACCCGCGCTTTAGCAAGATATGGTTTCTCAAACTTGTTCAAAAGATACATTTGTAAATTGTTTTCTGAATTCTGTGTCTTTGGATAGTTAGAGCAAAATAACTACCGAGCCGAGTTAAACCATTTCGGCACTGGGCTTCTGGTGCTTACGTCGGCTGTGCGGCGTACAAAACAGTATCTTAGGCCAAGTCTTTGTCTGTGAAAATGTAAGAAAAGAGGCCTTGCAGTCCTGTCCTGCCGATAACCTTGTTGTCCCGATTAAACTTTGTTACCCAGGCGATATGATCTCGAAAATATGAGTGGCAGCATCTCGATACCCTTTTTAAAGACAAGGTTTGATTTGCCGATTCCGAGTTTCCAGTGCTGAAGCCGCCGACACACCAAGTGTTGAGGTACCTTCGGCACTGGAGATCTAGGACGGAAGCCGCCTCAACTCTGTATACCGAGTGCTGAGAAAGGAACCCGTAACTTCGGTACTTGCATTATTTTCACCCCAAATACACCAATTCTTACATTGTTTATCTGACATTTCCAACTCCGATTACCTGCCGCGCCGTACGGAAGGATGCTGTTCAACCCCATTGTCGAATGGAATCGACCGCAAAGTGGGCGTGGCGCGGAATGCTGGTCACCCATTGGTCGCCGCTAGGCTATGTGGATGTGAAATTGCTGTAGGCCCCCCCCCCCTTGCTTCAGGGGACCACAGCGAAACGTTTTCATCCTGGAAGGACAAACTGCCCCCTGTCTGTCTGCGGGATGGCGTGGTGATGATGTCGGTTGTGATCGCAGTCAGGCCGGAGCGGCGTGCTGGGCGCGGGGTGCACCCCGGGAGGGAGTGCAGCGGGGCCGGCCTGGGTCGTCGGAGCCTGCCGGGCGCTTTAACACAGCACCCTCGCCTTTAGATCTGAGCCTGGGTGTGCAGTCTGCCTGTTTGCCTCCAGCCTGGCCTGCAGGATATAGGAAAAACGAAAATCTAAGTCAAAAGTCGAAGGCATTTTTGAATTTCATTTGAAGTTACGTGTACATGTACTAGAAGTTTTGTAAACAAGCCTGGCAAAGATGCGGACGTCTGTATGGACATAGCCTCCTGTGCAGGCCCCGCGGCGGTGGAGAAGAGTTTTTAACGCGTTATTTTAATATAGCCGACCATCCTACATAGCCGACGAGAGAAGGTTGCTTTCCGCCCACGGGGGAAAGCAACCTTCTCTCGTCGGCTATGTAGGATGGCCGGCTATATTTAGTCTCCAAGCAGATCTTTTGGTGGGGGTAAGACGTGGGGAAATGGTTACAGACTGGCCAATTTGATACTGTCTTACCCCCACCAAAAGATCTGCTTGGAGATTAGGCTATATTAAAATAACATGTTAAAAACTCTTCTCCACCGCCGCGGGGCCTGCACAGGAGGCTAGTATGGACACATTTCGAGGAGAAGTCATTTATCATTTTTTAACGAATGTGTTTAACGTCAGACAGCAACAATTTTGTCCAGATGAAAAGGCTCCATTCATCAAGCATCAACGTCTACTTGTTTCTTTTCATTGTAATCATGGGAACAATACAAACACAACATTTCCCTCGGCAATGAAAACAATTCAAATTGTCAAGAGCCTTGTCAGCTTTCGTATGCAAAGATATACATTTGCATAGACTCACCCTCTTCTGTGTGACTGCAGTCGCTTTTCTTTCTTTCTTTTCTGAGCTCTCCGACAGCCTGGCGATAAAGTTTCTTCAAATCGTCTCAAAGTATCCCAAATCCGCGCCTGAAAAAAATACATATGTTCTGAGCAACATATAAACTATATCGATGTACTTCTAAGTAGAAATAATAAACTATGTTATTAATCAGTAAAATCAGGCACAACTTAGCCAAGGTTTTTAAACAACATGTTTAAGATATATGTAACGATAGTGCCGTATATATAAGTGTATCCTTGTTTTAGCTTACCCTTCCTCCTGTCGGTTTCCTGGTTCGTTGCGGTGTTGTCCTTACAATCGGCAAATTGTCGGCCCATGTAGTAGAGGCATTTCTTCCGTTGCGAAAACGAAGTAACAGAACGGGAATGTTTGACGCCTTTTTAGTTCAGGAACATACTAGTAATCTTTGCAAGCCGAGACAAACGTGTTTTGAAAAAGCACACCGTCGTTGTGACAAAGCAAGATTCAAACGACCCACCAAAACAAAGCATCGCGGCTCTTATTGGCTGGTCCCGGCGAGAGCGAGATAGGATTGGTCGTCAATCATATAATCACGTGATCGCGTTCAATACTACAACGATCTTGCTTTTATATTATAGGTTTTAAGTTAAATCGCCTGTGCAGTCTGAACACTTGGATGATAGGATGTTTCTAATTGTGTGAATGTATTTATTTCAAGGCAGACAAATGATCTTCATAATTCTAATTCGTCATGATTACATAGCTTTATTCGTTCTAGAATTACACAACTTGTCGCTCACTGAGTGAAATAAAACCGCACTTTAACTCCAACATATAACCTTACTCTTTGTAAATGTATCCAAAATCCACAATTAATGTCATGAGAGTTGACTTGTTTTGCTGGATTTCAGTATTTTACCAGGCGTGGGGACGCTGTGAGTTCTCCCTTTGTTTACACAAAGGTTATTCACATAAATGGACACCATGTCAGACACATCACAATACACATCGACCGAACTACAATGTAAAGCTTGCATATTATTACCCATACATGTACCTAAAAATCATAACAAACTGATCAGGTCACGTTAGTTAAAACCCCTTTAGTCAAGCGGTTGATAACATCATGGTAATAAACCTCACGGATAAACTATTATTTCCAAAATAAAAAATTCAGATTTAGACCGGAGTGTAGATTTAGGTCATTTTGACCGAGTAGGTTATATAACCCCAGCGTCGGGGCGCCCTACGCTCAAATGTGCGTTGTCGTATGGACGACATCACGATAAATCAAGCCAAGGACGCATAGGTTCAAATGTTGTATTAACAATTCTTGATCATTCTAATTTGCTTAGATTAAAGTACTGGCAACTTTGGTTCAAGTAATTATCACCTGAAACATGAATACACGCAGTACCTAATTACCGCTTATTGTTAGCCGCTCCCCAACACACGCCAAGTGTGCGGGGCGTAAATTTCCGTGCACGTGCACGGCGAGCACGAATCCGGGAGTGTAAGGAAATATCCGGGGCCCGTACACGCGGAGCCCGGAAATCCATGGACGCGACCAGGACACGGCGAATTTCACGGGCGTGTGCGGGACTGGAAACTCTTGAAAACGTGGTTTTTCATACAGTGTAAATATATAGTTTCTTGTTACAACCATATGCACATGTGTATTGTACTCTGTTCATTCAGCTTAATAAGAGGAATTATTAAAAAAGTGATACATTCATTTTGAATTATTCAGTTCATACCTTTATGTTTGACTGTGACTGCAAAAAGTTATCCTGCCCCACCTAACAAAGTTAACATTCAGGATGCTAAGGTAAGCTGTTTGGCACCAAATTGAATGTACATGAAAATTTGTTATAGAGTTAGGCAGCAGCCTGAAGGTTACAATCCTTACAGTGCTAATTTCCATGTATGTCTAGATGGCAGCATGAAGGAGAGGAGGTCACCAAACTCAACAGGGGAGTGAAGAAAATGAAGAGCGGGGCCCTGTCCATTATGAAGATGTCGGCTCTACAGACAGGCACCTTCACTTGCATGGCAGGGGCAGCCAGAGAATCTGTCAGACTTCACCTTATAGGTAATGTACAGGCACCTTTAAATATGTACTAGGGACAGCCCTGTAATAATTCTTAGACTTGAGTTATGAGTGATGTTGGGAATTGCTTGAAGGAGAGAATATGCATGCACTTGTTACTTTGATATATGATTGGATATTTTGGGGTAGTTAAAGCTTAACTTATTGTTATATACTAATTTAATAGTTTCACAGGTATAAATTAGTCTTTGTTCGTTCAGTTCAGCCTCAAAAAGGCTATGGGACTTAACCTACTTGTCTCACTTGATTATGCGACTTGGTGCCTACCCTCTAGGTGGGATATCCAGTGAAACTAGCGCACCTTTCAGCCCCACCATCAGCCCACAGCCAAGGCCTGATGAGCTCAAAGCTCCTGAAGTTCCCAGGCTAGCAGCCACAGTCCCGGAAAGACAGCAGACTGGACTAGGACAGCCACCTGTCATCTACAGGGAGCGCATTCCTCCTATGCTAAAGGTGATCTTGACTTAAGCTCCTGGCTCATACAGATACGTTATTGTATACCGGTATTTTCAAATTTTCTATTTCATTAATTTTTTTCCAAGAGCCCAAAACACTTATCGAGAAGAGTTGGGGTGAACCGGTGTGTTTGGCTATAAATGCATGTCGTCACAAAGCCGCATTGCACTACTAACTAATGAAAAAGCTTAAAGGTCGCCCGCTTTATCTTGTTGTAGAGTAGTCAATTTTCTTTCCTTCCTGCCCAGACTGAAGGCCATGTGGTGGTGTATGTCGGCAGCCCGGTGATTGCAGCGAGTGTGGAGTCTATCACCATCCTGTGTGAGGTGCCGGGAGCCAAGCCCAGAATCACATGGACCAAAGATGGGGCAGGCATGCCAAATGAGCCACGGTTGGTGTTCTAAAGCTTCAATCAATCAATTAATCAATAAATCAATCATCAGATTTTAAGGTTTCAAATGTAGTGTTGCTACATAAGTCCTTAAGCAAACTGTGTCCTTTTTTTTTGTTTTTTAGGTACCAGCTGTGGAGAAATGGTTCCCTGACAATCAACAAACCCAAACACTCAGATGCTGGTTCTTACACTTGTACAGCAACCAACGCAGCTGGCAGAGATTCAGATACTTCGCTAGTTAGTATTGCAGGTAACATCAAGAAGACAGAGGCATGATTTTTTGTCAGCTTAGTTATACTCTCATCGATTGCTTCTTTGGTAGTAAGGGCATTTATGTCATAGCTGGGCCATGATAACGTTCAATATTGGTGTTCCAGACTATGCGATAACTTTAGTTATCACACGTTTCCTAAAGTGGAACACTGATATCTTCTTCTTCTTCTTAGTTCCTCTAACAACCCCGTAAGGGGTATCGCTGA